GGGGTGGTGGGGTAGCATAGTGCACGTGGTTAAAACGTCCGCTCGTAACGCCGAAGACCTGGGTTCGATTCCCCACATGGGTACAATGTGTGAAGCCCATTTGTGGTGTCACCGACGTGATATTGCTGGAATATTGCTAAAAGCGGAGTAAAACCAAACTCACTCACTCACTCTTGAAACTCCAACGAAGTTATTTTATCATTTAATTCTCTGTCCCTTTTCAAAGTATTGTGATTGACAAGGCTCAAGAGAACCTTGGCAAATATTGTTATAGGATATTTATATAGCGCACATATCCACGCACTAGTGCATGCTCAAGGCACTGAGGCATATGATGACTTCGCTTTCGAAATATCCCGCTTGCATCCAAAGTAAGAATTTGTGTACACGGTGTGTTATGCTTGGTACTTCCTAGTCTATTGTACGACAAAGAATGATCAACTAAAATTACTCAAACAGATATTCAATCAATGGTCAGCTGTCTGTTCATCAATATTGACAGTTTTCCTGTAAGGAAATGCACTTTCTTCAGTAGGGTGTGTTAAGTAGTAGACGTCAATACGAACGTCAATGATCCAAAGATGTTTGTAGTTTACAGCACGTGAGACGCCAATACGACTATTGAGTGGTATCAATTCTCAATAAATCATCATATCGTTGAACAATACTTATCGATTATTGTTCAATTTTCCGATATCCGCATGCTGTTTGCGGCCCAGTTATATACACATCGGACAGTACAATAGGAATGGACGTATTCATGGACAACCAGTTAACAGACGGAAGGATGATGGTGGTTGACGGTAAAAGATTGGCGTCACTGCTGTATGTTTGGGATTCATTGACTAAATATGTATAATACATAATTTCCTATGGTACATGAAAAATGTCAAGCACCATCTTATATGAAAACCATGTACTTGATACATTACATATGTACAACGTTATGGCGACACATACCCGTGAAGGTCCGGTTTAGAATTGATCTTCATTAACCCATGCTTGTCGTAAGAGGGGACTATAACGGGATCGGGTGGTCAGGCTCGCTGACTTGGTTGACACATGTCATCGTATCCCAATTGCGTAGATCGATGTTCGTGCTGTTGATCCCTGGATTGTCTGGTCCAGACTCGATTATTTACAGACCGCCGTCATATAGTTGGAATATTGCTGGGTGCAGCGTAAAACTAAACTCACTCACTCACTCGATAAAATGTGAGCGCCCTCTGCCTAATAGGATGCACCCGTAGGAAACACATGCAAATATCAACTTTATCTGAGGGATCTGAAATAAGCATGTCGGAAATTGGTCACTTTTCGCTAAGTGAGGCGGTTCACACAGGGCTTGTTTTCTGAGTCGAATGTCGTCTTTGGAAATATGTCATAAATCTTGATAATTCTTAGAAATACATTACACGATAAAGAGACGAATTTACTATTCTAAATGTAACATTACTTGACTATATTTGACAACATTAAATATCATAAATATTGCAACCATATAAAACAACAAAATATACAGAATTCCTTCATTGGAGAAACTCTTCCAATAACAGCTTAGATATACATGGATAATAAATTACTAAAAAAGAATACCAGTCACCGAAAGATATTCGTAAAAGCTTTCATTACAAATAAAATTCAAATGCGATTGCGTTTATGCGCTGAAAAACAAGTGTAAAGAAAATGTATGCAGTACGAAGACATAAAGTCCGCCCGAAAATATTCCACGGTTGTCAAGCCAATACTTCTTCAAGTACATCATTAATACATATACATTTTTCTTTTGGCAAACGTGGATGGATGTGAGACAATGAAACAATTCACCATGGGGGCGTTGTACTTTTCAAAAAGACCTATTTAAAAGCACTCTGGGTTTGAATAAACATTTAATTATTGAGTATATATACTGATGGTCAAAAGAAACTTTCTCTTGCAAATTTTTTCATAATATTAACATAAGAAAATATAATCAAATGCAAATTGCCCCATAGTTATTGCCAACAACAAGGGTTCGATTCTGACCAACATCAGCGCTCAAACGCACCTCTTGACAACTTTGCATCGAAAACAGCAAAATGCACGTGTTTTGCAAGTAAGGGTAAAATGCACGTGCATGCATGGTATAAAACCACCTCACAGCACAGAGCAGATCGTACTTCAGCAGAAAACCACTTTACAATGCCGAGGTTAACTTCAGCAGAGCGAGAGAGGGCCATCGGAATGCTGCAAATGGGCGCTACAACGGGTCACGTTGCAAGAACCTTCAATTGCTCCGTCGTGACCGTCAGGAACCTTCGTCGGCGTTACCAACAGACTGGTCAGACCTCAGACAGGCCCCAGACAGGCAGACCCCGGGTGACAAGTGCGCAGGAAGACCGCCACCTGAGGACGTTACACCTTAGAAACCGCTTCCTGACGGTAACGTCATCAGCGTCAACAGCACTCGGTCACCCAGTGAGTCGAAGGATAGTGTCAAGGAGACTACGGGCCTATGGTATCAGGGCCTACCGACCGTACCGAGGAACGCTGCTGACAGACAGACATGGTCGCTCGAGTTGTCCAGAACTTCTTTCACGCCAACAACGTCAACGTCCTGCCATGGCCTGCACGCTCTCCTGACATGTCGCCAATCGAGCACGTATGGGACCACCTTGATAGAGTTATTCAACGGAGACAGAATCCACCAGTTACAGTACAGCAAATGACTCAAGCCCTTGTCGAAGAATGGAGGCGAATCCCAGCTGACGTCATCAGACGCCTCACAACTTCAGTCAGAAGACGTGTGTTTGCATGTATTCTATCCAGAGGTGGACAAACTCGCTATTAGAGACTTCTGTTCACGCTTTGCTGTGTTTCCCGAATGGACCCACTGATCGTGAATTCTCTAGTTTGACCCCATGTCGACCATAACCTGTTCAATAAGTTATCAGCCTTGTTAAAAATCGAACGTTTGTACTTAGCACGTGCCTATGTCATTGCTTCACAAATTATAAATTGCAAACTTCGATTTCTTGTTGTTGTTTTTAAGTGAGATCAAATTGAACGAGGAGAAAGTTTCATTTGCCCGTCAGTATATATGGTTGACACATCGTCATCGTATCCCAAAATGTTCATGCTGTTGATCCCTGGATTGTCTGGTCCAGATTCGATCATTTAAAGACAGCCGCCATATTGCTGGAATATTGCTGAGTGCGGCGTTAAACAACAAACCACCCAACCTTAGTTTTTTTATGAGCTTTGTAGTTGTGTATAGCAATCGGCATTTCTGATTGGAAATCGGTTAAGAACTTCAGTTTTAGGTATGTCATATCGATCAATAATAGTGAAATAGCACATCCAATTTCTATGATTTCTGTTTTATATTTAGTTAAATAGATGTAGTGACAAAAGCTCTGTTCAAGACTGCGTGACAAGAGGGATGATTGTATGGGAGTCTTTGGTCATGGTGCTCATGAACTCAGGACAGAAAGGGAGGCAACTCTCCATTGCTAATTGCTTCGCGTTAGACAACTAGGTCACCTGTGTCCCCTTCGCAAACATATAACAACTATGTAAGTACACAGAAAGAATATTATAGGTTTGATAATTTCAGTAAGCGTCTGAAACATACATGTATATACAATCGTGTCGCTAATGGTAGAATGCAGCATGTGAAACGTAGGACATGGGATACATTCTGAACGTGAACACCATAGAACACACTCCATATGGCCTTAAAAGGTAAAATATTGATGGGAAGTACATCCATGGGTCACTGAAACCAGTGATGACACAAGGTGTTCGCGAAATAATAGGTATTTTTGTATGTTGTTTAACGCCACAGGAGTATTCCAGTGCGGAAATAATCGAGTTTTGACCAGAGAATCAGCGAGTAATGGAATAATATTATCCTCCTCCACCGGTTGAACATACATTTGATCGTCACCTGCCATACTGAAATATTCCACTGTAATGATAATTGTAAGGAAGAAGTCTTCTTAAACTCGCCCTTGTGGATCAATTCATCTGTAGATTGTGGGATACATTTGTTAATATCACAGAATAATTCTTATAAATATGACTGGTGTTTGGAAGGCATTTAGTTGGATACACATAAAGACAAGAACTAGTGGATGTCAACCTCTCGGTTTTGTAGAAGACGTCTTCACCTGACGAAGAAGCAACAATATACTCTGAAACGTCGTGTTCCTCAAAACAAAGAAGGTGACGTCCATACATTCTTGCCTTTAATATGATTAGTATTCAAAGTTTATGAATCTGGTGAACAGTGTCATGTCATAAAACAATTGTAAATCATAAAAGTTGAGTTGAGTAATTTTGTTTTCCATTCTTGGGTCTGGAGTGCAGGTAGCCTTTCTATTTTGATACCTTCACTACTATTAAAGATAAATGATGGAACTACTGCATCAACTGGGGCGACGCGACCAATGCGGGTTTCCAGCCAATCGCTTACTGACATGTTTCTTCCTACTGCTTGCCAAGTCTTGGAGTTCCATCGGAACTGTTTTATTTATTTCAAAAACATGTAAAGAAATCTACTTTCCATTAAGTCAGTCTTGCATCTTTGATACTATATCCTAGTCCCTGATACCTTGTTGTGTCGTATATGAATATAAAGCAGGCCAATGTTCCTTCGTTGTTACAACATTAAATATTCAAGGTGAACATTGTCAGTGGGTCCACAGATATCTTTTTCGCGGCAAAAGGACAAAATGTGTTTTAAGCAACGAAACGAACGCAGCAAAACTAGTTGGAAAGGATGTTTTACAAGACGTATTTTTAACTTTAAAGTAATCAATCACTTAATCATGATTATCTTAGTTTTATCGTAGGTTTGTCAAAAACAATACATAAAGGAAATACTTATCGTAAATATAAATAAAAAACAACTATTTGTAATGAATTGTTTCCCATTGCTTTTCTTTTGTTTCCAGTTGTGAAAATTGTAAATCTCGTTAAAGGAGATATTTTCACAAATGTAGGTTTTATTTATTTACCTTAAAGCTCCATCCTCCTGTATCCCACGTTGGCAGAAGCTTTGCCGTGAACATGTTCCAAAATTAAAGATGGCGGCTTGTCGCAAAGCAAACCCCACAGCAACTCGCCTTATACACTGCGGCAACTCGTGTGTTATCCTACTGCATATCACTCTGCGTATTCTCCCTTACTGGAGCTGGAAAGGAATGAATTAATCATGATGCCCTTTCAAAAGTTTTGCTTGCTCAGAGCAGAACCTGTTTGTGTTTCATCTTCAAAATAAATATTTAATTGCTTTGAGAGAACTGTATGGATGTCATGACTTTAAACTGCTGTTTGGATCCATTACACAGTTCTACCCCATCTTGAAGAATACGCTACACATAATTATGAATTCCTGTTCTTCGAAACCAAACACCACCAAACTCCCAGTTTTAATCAACTGAAATCACATCTCCTGGATAAAAATATCCCAAACACAGAAAAAAGCATCAGAGGTTTACAGTTTTAACGCTTTCATTTAGCTTTAATGAAAGCTGTGGTGCAGAAATCTAAATGAATGTTGACCATCTTTTCAATCGCTAATACTTGCGGTTACCAAGATGAAGTGTTTACCTAGAGACCGAACGTGGCAGGTGTACTTATTGGATTAATTATTCACGTTTGGGCACGTGGGATACGGTTATATGGGCTCAGTTGTTAACAAAATGGATCTATTTCGTAGTCCTCTATTCGATCCCAGTGTTGTGCCTCTGTTCAGGTACAATGACAACGTAGTCACGCTTTGGCTCCTGATCTCTAACGTGAAACAATTACCGTCTTCGGTGGTGATGTTTCAGTGCAAAAGGCGCCCTTGACTGCCCGAGACACGGAGAATGCCTCCATTGAAAAGGAATCACGATACGTCAGTTGCAGAGTTCTAGGCGACAATGTCATAAACCTCTGGCTATATACAAGTAATCATCTGAATGAATGACATTGCTGACAATCAGGTAAACAAAGGACTTTGATCACAATCAGGAATAAACAATTCCATTATTCGGGTAATCAGATAGCTGAATTACATATGCAGGAATACAAGTAACATTCAAGTGAAAAAATTACATTCATGACAACGAGGTAAAAGAATTACACTTTTGTCAACCAGATAAAAGACTTTCAGTGTTTAGGTCATCGGGTACAGGAATACATTATCGACATTCAGGTAAACTAATTTGTTGAAAATCAGGTACACGAATTATACAGTTCGTGTAATTAGACACATTATTTAATCGTTACCACTTTCCTGATTAAAGAAATACAGTTGTAACGTATTCTTAGGTTTAAAAAGGGATAAAACAGTTCGATATATCCGTCATTTCGTTACAAGCGTGTTCGTTATACTTGTAAACTTTAAGATTTCCTTAGCAACTTTTGAGCAAGATTTGTATAACCCATCTAACTCACGCAGACCTATTTTAACAATAGCAATTATCCACAGGCCAAAATGTAAACGTTAATACCCCACTATTCAACATTCGGATATTCAGATGTATACACCTCATAACGCACGAGTAGTGTACAATACAACTTATGTGGGAGTGAGTGACTATTAATTGTATTTGTGGCATATAAGGCATCCACAATAACTAACATCAACGTCAAATATACCCAACGGTGCGATCATTTAAATGCATCGATAAAAGGAGAATGATATATACGACAAATCACTATAGGGCCCTGTAAGTCGCGTGAGGCGCTACTTCCGGCACTAAACTGGTTCCCGGTTCCTTTTGCGCGCGCCAGCTTGCGATATGCGAGGCGGGGCCCAGCTTACTTCCGGTATTAGATTTCGGGTGAGAAGCTTATATTCAAGAACCAGTTCTGGTTTCAAATTGCGCAACCGCCAAATATAACTTTACTAGACCGGACCAAGTGTACAACCATGCTTGGCTGTCACAGCTGTTGACTGTCGTAATGGTTGGCTAATTTGGGGATGGATAAATCGGAAATTTGTTATTCCTGCAATGATTATCGGTTCCTTACTGTCAACTGACAACCACGAGACCATTCGAAAAGGTATGAAACGTTGTTTGTCACCGGAAGTACTACGATCTCGCTAAGTGTCGTGACCTACTTACGGACCCTGTACATAGTCGCTGGAAATGTCTGATTATAAACCGTGTTCGTTGTACGATTATGACATAAAATACGCAGTGTTTCTTTCGTTTTCGCTTTTATCGAAGTTCGATATTTGTGCTGCACTTAAACTAGTCAATAAATTCAAACTGTACATGCTTTCAAGTAAGGCACGACGTTCAAATCAGCATCTTAAGACCAAGATAAGTGAACCGTTATATCTGTATTACAAGATCACCAGGTCACAGCAATGCACATAATAATGATAATGATTGATGGTTGGTCGTTAAAATATTTTTAAATCAACGCTTACATAAGACTGGCAATGATCAATGGTACTTATATTGAGTAAGTACTCAGATTTCGATTATTCTTGAAAATCATACAGCCTATGTCCTGTTGCCAGAGTGCCGTGACTATAACAATGCAATCTAACTCAACGGGTTTTAAATCAATTACACCATTCGTATGACTTCTTACGTGGTGTTTCACTGTCCTCATCCAACAAAATGAAGTGATCAGCCTACGTATCTAACAAACTACTTCACAACCAAAATAACACGAGGAAGCATTTAATGGAAACGTTTTTAACAATGTTGAAAATATTATCTGATGCATTAGCATCTGTGCTCTTTGACATAACCGCACTAAAATGCACGTTGTGGAATCGATCCATGATTATAGATCACTTGGATCGGTGGCTTGGCTTGGGGAATAGGAAGATGTTTGTTTTCATCCCATCTGTGCTGATCCATGCTCACGATGTCTATCATGGATATTTATTCCAAAATGTACAAGTCACCGTGATACGGCGGGAATAAACGCCAGTTCGTCATTAAACGAAAAACATCACATAAATATGACATGGTCACGGTTGATGCTACTTTTTATTAATTTTTTGAGGTTGTTCAAATGTGAAATATTTACTCTGACATGTGTAGTCTTCGTATTTGGTTATCGAAGGCAGATCAATATATTTCTTCATAACCAGACAGCAATCAGACTAGAATATCAGTCCAAACAGATCACATTGAGCTAAAAGACAAATATAACGGTAAAATATATTGAATGAATCGCTGATGGCAAGTATTGACACTCGGTGAAATGGGTAAGCCCGTATTACCCAATACCTGTCACTCACACAATTTGCCTAAAACACTCCAGGTGAAGGCTTAGTACAATATACATGTAAGATCCATATTCACCGTCTAACTTTCTACTGATGTTCACAATCATCGCATGCCCTCGTCTATTTGCAAGCTGAGGTGTCGCCGCACTCACATGACAAATAAGGAAGCATTTGCCATATTCTGTCTACATAATTTTAGACTAAGTAGTCCTGAAGTCTACATCAATGCACGGAGCTAAACCGATCGTATAAAGCATTACAAAACTTCTGAGTTGCACGATAGTATGCTCTTTCCACGACGATTTTTAAGAGCGTCATATTGTTTTTGGGGGACACACGTTGAAGAGGTGTACAGGATTGAAGCATCAATACAATTTCCGTTTTTGCCTTGTGACTCATGTTCCCATGCTTTTGTCAGGTGAACGGTTGACCTGCCTTTGCGTGCGTGTGCGACGGGTGTTACATGGGTAGGACATGCTCATGTTCTTGCGAGCACCTGGTGTCATCACGTACACTGTTTGATACTGGTTATGAGAGATATGCTGATGATCCAGTCGGAATCACTCAATGGGCGCTGTTTTTGTCAGAGGATGCTGTTGAACATTGAACTTGGTATGGTTACATACCTGGAAGTAGACATTTGTGATGTTTAAAACAACAAACCAGTGGAGCATGTAAGGATTTTCAAGTCCACTGCCTCCAGAGAACAATGGAGGTTCTATGTTATTTCAACGACATGGGTCATACAAAAATGTTAACTGGTAAATAGATGGAATACATCCACAAACCATTCCCAAGGTAAAAACAAAATACATAGCATAGTTTCGTTCTTACTTTTATTTCATAAGTCATATGTATACAATAAAGTTCAATAAATATACACAAATATCACAAAAATGATATTGTCAACACTGTCATGTACAAGTATCAGGTATCACTATTTTATTTTATTAGTTCATTTACATTAATATTACATACATAAATTAAATAATAATATACACAAAGCATGATTAACATTGCATTCAGTACTTAGCACTAGGTCTACTGCATCACACTTCAAAGTCACACACTAAATGTCAGTTCACTGTAACTTCATTAGATGCGACACGGCATCAGCGTAAACCATGACACTCATGGCACCATCTCGGAGTTCTTGCTTCAGAGTCTCTAGTCTTGAGTTGACATGGATGTACTTCCTCCTTTTTGGTGGCGGTTTCCTCCCAGCAGCGTACTGAACAAGCTTGATTTCGTTCAGTTTCTGCTCTTTCCTGAGGAAAGACAACATCTCGAAGACATTGGGGTGAGCCTTAGAAATAATTTTCTTAAGGCGACCATGCCAACCTTCCAGGTGGTAATTGTGTTATTTGTCATTTAACTAGTGAGTTCATATCAGCAACTATGTTCATAGTTAGAACTAGTGAGTTCATATCACTAATTAGTGAACTCCGAGTGAACTCCGAGTTCACTCACCAGTTCAAGTTTTAGTGTCACCCATCTCATTAATCCTTTAAAACAACATGTATCTACCTCGGCCGAACATCAAAGGATTTTTACTGTAATAACAAATGTCTACTTCCAGGTACGACACCTTATGGAGAGTCACACAATATGTTACAATGGGTGACCGGACAAAATCCACCTGGTCAAAATCCACCCGGACAAAATCCACCCCAAAATTGCCACCCCGGACAAAATCCACCTCTTCTTAAAAAAAAAAAATGGACAAAATCCACCCTTCTCAAATTGCTATTGTTAAAAGTTTTAGTGTGTCCTGATCTTTGATCAAGTTGTTTTGCTCAAGCATTGCAAGGATTGTTTTGATAGCATTTTCGTTTTCCTAATTGGCTGTTGTTCCTAGATGTTGTTTCAAACATTAAAGGTTTCTCCATTTGTCACATTTTGATCACTACTTAATCCTCTTTCATGTATCATTAAGTAGTCTCACACTT